ACACCACAGGTGGGTGTGTCTCAGGTCTCTGGTGCTGCTGTGACAGGCACACCACAGGTGGGTGTGTCTCAGGTCTTTGGTGCTGCTGTGACAGGGACACCACAGGTGGGTGTGTCTCAGGTGCTGCTGTGACAGGGACACCACAGGTGGGTGTGTCTCAGGTCTCTAGAGCTGCTGTGACAGGAACACCACAGGTGGGTGTATCTCAGGTCTCTGGTGCTGCTGTGACAGGGACACCACAGGTGGTGTGTCTCAGATCTCTAGAGCTGCTGTGACAGGGACACCACAGGTGGGTGTGTCTCAGGTCTCTAGAGCTGCTGTGACAGGGACACACAGGTGGGTGTGTCTCAGGTCTCTAGAGCTGCTGTGACAGGGACACCACAGGTGGGTGTGTCTCAGGTCTCTAGAGCTGCTGTGACAGGGACACCACAGGTAGGTGTGTCTCAGGTCTCTAGAGCTGCTGTGACAGGGACAGCACAGGTGGGTGTGTCTCAGGTGCTGCTGTGACAGGGACACCACATGTGAGTGTGTCTCAGGTCTCTAGAGCTGCTGTGACAAGGACACCACAAGTGGGTGTATCTCAGTCCTCCATTGTTGCTATAACAAAAGTACTACCAACTGGCAGCTTTAACAAACAGAAATTTGTTTTTTAACAGTTTTCACATTGCTTTTGAGTTGATTCTGACTCAGAGAGACTTTATATGACCCCACTGTGTAAGGTTCCCAGACTGCATCAGGGCAGAAATGGTTAAGTGGTGGTGTTGTTGAGTCGCTTGCAACTCATCGTGATGCTGTGTACAGAAGGTCTGAAGTTGCTCTCTCCTGGGCCAGCCTCATCGTCTCTGACGCACCCACCCCCGTTACCCCAGTCACTGAGCCAATCCATCTCATCCAGGGTCTTCCTCTTCTGCGCTGACCCTCCACTCTTCCAAGCATAATGTCCTTCTCCAAGGACTGGTCCCTCTTGGCAACATGTCCAAAGTATGTGAGATGGAGCTTCAAAATCCTTGCCTCCAAGAACGACCTGGCTTCACCCTCTCCAGGATGGACCTGTTTGGTTTTTTTAACAGTATATTCAATGCTCTTTTCCAGCACATCTCAAAGGCATCTATTCCACTTCTATGATCCTAGTCATTGTCCAGCTCTTTGATGCATAGCAAGTGATTGTGAAGATCATGGCCTGGATCAGGTGCACCTTAGTTGCTAGACTGACTTCACTGCTCTTCAGCACTCTGGAGTGATCCGTGACAGCAGATTATCCCAGTGCAATTCATATTTTGGTTCCCTGGCATGGGTAGGAGTGGTTAATGTGGTCACGTCTGCGGGAATTCTCTGAATCCCGGATTCCACTCGGTCTTGAAGTCTACCAGAACCCTGCTGCCTCACACTCAGTGCTGCCGTCTGTCATGAGCTGTGCTTCTGACCCAAAGCTGGAGCATCTCTGGTCCGTAAAGTTTGTTGTTGTTGTTGTTGTTGGAGGTGGTGGTGGTGTGGTATGGTGTGGTATGGTGTGGTGTGGTGTGGTCGTAGTGGTAGGGTGGTGTGGTGCTGCTGGTGGTGATGGGGGGCAGGGATGGTGCTGATAGTGATGGTGGTGGTGGTAGTGGTAGTGAGGTGGTAGTTATGGTGGTAGTGGTGGTGGTAGTGGTGGTGGTGGTGGTGGTAGTGGTAGTGAGGTGGTAGTTATGGTGGTAGTGGTGGTGATGGTGGTGGTGGTGGTATTGTCGAGTTGACAGCTCATAGCAACCTTATGAACAAGAGGTGAAAACCTTTCCCTGTCCTGTGTCATCCAGCACCTCAGGGACCGTTGTGCCCTGAGTGGAAAGGTGTGTGGTGTGTCTCTGCTCAGAAGTGCCTCGGACAGCAGCCTGGCCCTCTGTCCCCACTGGCCTCAGCCTCGGAGGCACTGGACGGTGGGTTCCGTTCTCACAAACAGGGAGTCACCAGAGGTGGAATCAGCTTGTGACGACTAACAACAGAAGCAGGAAAGGGGAGGAACCGTACAAACCAAGGGCGCTGAGATAGTCCGTGCTGTCCCTTAAACACATTCAGTGACCCACTGTGCTGCCTTCTCACCAGGCTGGAGGGCAGGCAGACCTGCCGTTGTTGCTCCCCGGGCTGTCGTCTTTGTGGGAGCTGCTTGCCTGTCCTGTCACGGCACAGCCGGTGGGGCTGTGCACAGGCTCCAGCCACCACATGTCACTGCCTTTGAGCTGGTTCTTTGAGTACAATAGTCCCAAGGGTGCTGCATGGCACAGGACAGGGAAGGGTTTGCACATCTTCTTCATAAGGTTGCTATGAGTTGCCAACTCGCCAATATCTATAACGATCTTTACAACCCACAGACCCTCCAGCTTTGGGCCAGCAGCACAGCTCACGGCAGCACCGGGTGTGTGGACAGCAGTGACCGATAGACTTGAAGACCCGGAGAGAGTCCCCCTGCATGACCGTGTAGTTGACTCCTGACATCTCTCTGTTGCAGAATAAAGACCCCAAGATGGCCCGGGTGGCGCTGGAGTCCCTGTACCGGTTACTGTGGGTTTACATGATTCGCATCAAATGTGAAAGCAACACGGCCACTCAGAGGTAAGCAGGCGGTGTGCGCTCCCGGTGGGACGGGGCCTGGCCACCACGGAGGCCGTCCTCTCCATGGCAACCTCAACTGACCCAGCTAGAAGGGCCCCGGAAACAACAGTGCGGGGACAGTCCCAGGAACCATCGCAGGCCACGGTCAGAAGGACCCCCTCCCTGGGCCCGAGTGAGACACAGGCTGGGCACAGTTCCTCATCTTCAAATGAATCAGCTCTTCCGCAGTCCTGACCATGGGCTTCTTAAGACAAACCTGCACATGCCACCATCTATTTCAAATCCATCTTCTATTTAATAATAGATTCGGCATACAGTGTTACAATATGTCTGTAAGTTTATACAAATAAAGATCAGATTCATAAAGACATTGATGAATAATAACACTAGATAATACTAAAGTAATCCTGTAGTAAATATAAACAATGCAACATTCACAAATAGTACAACAGATCATATAACACACTAGATAATGTGATATAGTGATACTGTAAAAAGAAGTATTTTATTATGTCATGGCAGACTTCTGGGGGAGTCATTGGAATGGAACCCCGTTTTAAATTGGGGGAAGACCTATCATTTTCCAGGGGCCCTTAGTTTTACAGAAACTCTTTCCATGAAGTCACTGTGTAGATGGGACCTGCTTCTGGTTCCACACCCTCTCACCCCTCAGACATGAGGGACTCCTGCCCGTTTCCCCTGACTGGTAGAGCTTCGTCATGTCACTTCTTTTTTTTCCTCCTCCTCTCCCGCCTTATCTTCCAGCCGACTTATAACCATCGTGACAACACTTTTCCCCAAAGGGTCCCGCGGTGTGGTACCCAGAGATATGCCTCTCAACATCTTTGTGAAGATCATCCAATTCATTGCACAGGTAACAGACCCTCTGCCCGCACAGGAACTTGTGATGGGTGATAGGTAACAGGCCTGGGTCCCTCTCATGCAGTGGAAAGAGATGAAAAGTCTGAAATGTAGACACTTCTCAGGAACATGTGGAAATTATTTTTATCACTTTCTCTGCAACATTTTAAAGTGCATGTCGTCTAACCTTCCTCTACCCAACCTTTTACGTGTCTGTTTTCTCTCACTCATTGTACTCCCTCTTCCCATCCCTTCCCATTCCTGCAAAGCATCAGAGAGTATTTCCTCTATTTCTACACTTTTTCTTAGCTTCTTTATAATAAGGGGCTCGTAACAGTTTTGAATGTTTTGGTTGTTGGGTTGGGTTTTGCTTCCGTTTGTACCCTGAGTAAGGCAAATGTTATTAGCTCCTGACAAATGAAGAAACTAAGAGTTTAGGTAACTTGTGTATGACCACAAACTTTCTTTGTGGAAAAGGCCCCTTATCCGTGTGTGTGTGTGTTTCATACTATTCTTCATTCACATTGTGTTTCATACAAGCATTCCATTCATTGTTTATTGTTGTTGTTGTTAAGAGACATCGAGTCAAGTACAACTCATATCAACCCTGTGAACAAAAGACCTTAGCCATATTCCGTTACTGTCATCATTTCTCTATGTTCCTAGAGTTTCCAGAGGCATGTTGTTGAGGAAGTGGATGTCACGCCTGCTTCCAAGCCTGTCTCAGTCAGGGTAGCTCCACCAAACACTGTCCATGATGGGTAACCATTGTGGCATTTGATATACAGTGGCACAGTGTTCTGCATCACAGCAACCCCAAGTTACTGCAACACAGCAAATTGACAGACAATTACTGTACCACTTAGAAGAATGTTTATCACAAACACAATTAACACCAGACCCGAGGGCCACAGGTCTGAGCACCCAACACCTTTTAATTTTTTTTTAATTATTATTTTTGTGTGTACTGTCAAATTGGATCTGACTGGTACAGGAGGAGATTGTCCCTCCTTCTCCAGCAGAGCATCTGATGGATTTACCCACGCACCTCTGGGATTTCAGTGCAGCTTCCTGCCACTAGGTCACCAGAGCTCCCTTGACCCAACACCTTTTAAATACAAGGATCGCCCACCAGGTTCTGGTTGATTCTAAACAAGTTCTGGTTGATTCTAAACAAGAGGCTTCCATCCCACAACTCGTTATTAGCTAAACCCAGCAAATCCGATCAGCTCACACATAATTATGAATGAAAAAATAACAACCCAACAGTCTACACCCAACCCTCACCAAAATAAGAGAACCCACCTTCTAGAATCCAACCACTTCACACATGAGCCTCATTGTGCTTTATAAAAGTATTCACCATTGGGCTATGCCCACCGTGCTGCTATCTTTTCGGGTCCCTGCCAGATCTTTCTCATTTCCTTTATTGCCTTCTTCTATACACCAAACTGTGCAACCCTGTGATTTTGTCCTACCCATCCTCACCTCTCTGCTCCCACCCTGCCCCCCCTTAGATCCACATACATATTTTACTAGTTACCCTTGTGTTTTTACAATCATTGTCCCATACAGTATTTGTCCTTAAGAGACTGAGTTAGTTCACTCAGCATAATGCTCTCCAGTCCTCCCAAGTATTTTTCAAAATTGTTGCTCCTAAGTGCTGTTTAGTATTCCATTGTGTGAGTGTACCACCGTTTCTCAATCCATCTAGTTGTGGTTGGATATTGGGCTGTGTCCATATTCTTGCGATGGTGAATAATACAGCTATGAACATTGGTATGAAAATCTCCTTTTATGTCTCAGTCCTAATTTCTTTGGGGTATATGCCTACAAGTGGAATAGCTGGGTCATGTGGAGTTTTTATGTTCAGCTTTTTGAGGAAGAGCGAGACTGCTTTCCAGAGTGGTTGTTCCATTTTACAATCCCATCAACAGTGTATGAGAGTTCCTACCTCTCCACATGCTCTTGAATATTTACTGCTTGGTGTCCTGCTAAACTTTGCCACTGCTATTGGAAAGAGATGGTATCTAATTATGATTTTGATTTGCATCTCTCTTATTGCAAGTGATTTTGAGCATTTGTCCATGTGTCTGAGGCCTCTTGTTCTTAAATTTTAAACCAAGCCCTTCAATACTACTGCTAATTAGTGGCCCTGTAGCCACCAACCACTCCTTGGGAGAAAGATGGGACAGTGTGTCTTTTTCTGTAAAAATCCCAGCCTTGGAAATGCTGAGGGAAGTTCTTCTCTGTCCTGCTGACAGTGATCTTGGGCTGACTACATCTCACAACGGCCGTAGGAGGACAAAGCTGAGCCTCGTCCTGACCTCGCCCTCACCACCTCTGCCAGCTGAGCCCATTGTGCGGTCACCATGTCAGTCCATCTCATTGACCGCCTTCCTCTCTTTCTCTGACGCCCTGTCTTTCCCAGCATGCTGTCTTCTCTCCAAGGACTAGCGCCTCCTGTCAACATGCACAAAGTGTATAAGACAAAGTTTTGTCATCGTCGCCCCTCAGGAGCCCTGGTTGCACTTTGAGGACAGATCTGCTTGTGTGTTTGGCAGTCCATGACACATCCAGTGCCTCTCTCCAGCACCACAGCTCGGGGGCGTCCATGCAGCCTTCCCTATCCGGCTTCTCGTTTTGCTCTGCCCAGGAAGGCGGATGTGAGTCCGAGTGGACTCAGTCGGTGTTAGGCTCTCAGGCTTTACCTGTTTGGTGTGTGTGACGGAAATAGCCATTTCACAGTGAATTTGTATTTTTAACACCTTTTCACTTTCTCATTTCCCCTGCAGGAGCGTTTAGATTTTGCAATGAAGGAAATAATTTTCGACTTTCTCTGTGTGGGGAAGCCAGCGAAGGCGTTCAGCCTCAACCCGGAGGTAGGAAGGGTGCACCCCCCATGAGCTCCCACAGTGGGCGCTCCACACCAGGGCTTTGAGCTGGCTTTGCTGGGAGGCTTTGCGGTTGGATGGGGGGGGCATTTCTTAAGCATACGAATAAATAAGCAAATAAACTGTACAGCATAAAGATAAAAAAATGTAAATGGTTGCTCCTGTCATCACTGTAAGGAACCCTGGTAGCACGGTGTTTTAAGTGCTTGACTTCTAAACGAGAATACCCACCGGGGCAGCCCCACGGAGCAAAGGCCTGGCGATTGGCTCCCAGGAGGAGGACCACCTAGGAAGGCCCTGGGCTGTTCTCCTCCGCCACATGCAGGAGCGGTGAGTCAGAACTACTCCAAGCCACCTGGCAACAGAGACACCCGCGCAGCTCACGGAATAACTGTGATAATAGAAAAAAGTAACTGTGATAATAGAAAAAAGTACAACAGAAACTCTCAAGTACAACGTAGGGAGTAAACCATGTGGTTTAAGAGCCAGTGGAACAGAGTCGGGAATCCAGAAGTCCTTCTGCGCGTTTCGGATCAACTGAGCTTCAACAGTGGAACCACTTTAACTGACCAGGCGTCCAGCGCTGTGATGGGCCGGGGCTCGCCGTAATGGGCCGGGACTCACCGTGATGGGCCGAGACTCACCATGATGGGCCAGGGCTCGCCGTGATGGGCCGGGACTCGCCGTGATGGGCCGGGACTCGCCATGATGGGCCAGGACTCACCGTGATGGGCCACCACAGGCCATGCACACTGAATGCAGACATCACCACAGAGTCAGTCAGCGCCTGGATGGACAGCCCCACACAAAAGGTTCCAGAAGATGCCCTAAGAGGATGTCTTTGTAACCTTGGCTTGAGCAAAGATTTCTTACAAAAGACTAAAAAATGTAAGTTAATGAAGGAAAATGGATAAACTGAGCATCCGTGAAATAGGAAACCAGCTGTTCAGAAGACATTGCTAAGGAGTGAAGGGCCCAGTCTGGGGAAGATGTTTGCAGAGCACATCTCTGATCCAGTAATTCCATCCAGAACCTTCAGAGGACTCTTGGGGCCTGAGAATGAGTGAATAAGCCCATATGTCCACTGGACAAGATGAGACAACCTCTTTACCAGAGAAGAGCTGCAGATGGGCAGGAGGTGTGGGTCTAGGAGGCCTGTGTCTGTCAGTGCTCCTTGCTTCTGTTGGTGCTGCTCACAGGCCCCTGCAGGACAGCACAGGCCCACCACGGGGGCTCATCTTTACAGAGGCTGACAGCCTCATCATTCTCCTTTAGACCACTTGCTGGATTCAAACTTCTGACTCTTCAGTTACCAGCACAACATTTAGCCTGCTGCACCACCAGGACTGCTTGAAAAGTAAAAACCAGACTCAAAATCATTCAGTCAGATCCAGCTCGTGGCAGCCCTCCACACCCGGCGATGACCCTCTCTCATAACAACCCTCTCCTCCACAGCTACCCCACCAACAACCCTCCCCACAGTGACCCGCTGTTGGTTTCCGAGGATACAAATCTTTATTGGGAAAGACTGTCCATCTTTCTTCCATGGAGCAACTGGTGAATTTGAACCAAGGACCTTTCAGGTAGCAGCTCAGCACATAGCTCACCACGCACCTGTAGTCAGGTGATTCTTTAGTCAGTGATCAGAACGAAACAACAGAAACCCACCACTGGAGAGTCAGCTTTGACTCCTGGTGACCCCACGGACTGACAGGACACTGCTCAGCGTTCTCCGTCGGGCGAGGGTGGAGTCAAGCCGACAACCTTTCTGTTAGTAGCCCAGCGTTAGCCATGAGGAGATGCAGGTTAAAACACAGTGAAGGAGGCTGGGGAGGAGGGAGAGCAGCGAGAGCGGCCCTTTCTGCTGCCGAGATCGCGGAACGGCCGGGTCCCTGTGAATGAGCAGACCGGGCGCCTCGGAGCTGTGGGGTGTGGGAAGCACACTTGGGAAGCAGGAGAACCACGTTCCCGGCAGCAGCTCCCCGAAGCCCGGTGTTAATGAGAGAAGCCTCTGGTGGTCCTGTCAGGGCAGTGCCGCCTCCCCAGAGCAGCAGCGTGCAACGGCTCTGTGCTCTTTGATTCCATTTATTTACTGCTCTGGGAAAGGCAGCTGTAAGAATAGAAACTACACAAGCATCTGCTGAGGTTGGAATCAGAGCAGAGGACAGATGCACAAAGGAACAAGAAAGGAGGAAAGAGGGAGATCACTTGCATCTTGACTGTGATGTTGGTCACATGACTGGGTGCTGTTTGTCAAAACTCAGAACCAGACCAGACTACAGTCCATTGACAGCCTTCAAACTAAGAGTTGATTTCCTCCAGGAATCAGCTTTCAGTCAAATGACAGATAGTGATCGATAACACCAGGGAGGCGTGTCCTCCCCAGAACAGTCAGCTGTGTGAGACCAGAGGGGCAGCCCCTCCAGGAGCACTGAAGGCAGGAAGGGGTCAGGAAGAAGTGTGAATGGAAACGCACAGGCAGGGAGGGGGAGGAGTGCTGTGGCCTTGAGGGCTTTACAACCTAAATCACAAAACAAACTGCTTACATTGTTGACTGGAAAACAAACAGGCTCTGTAAACCTACACCAAACCACAATAAGAAGTGTTTACTGCATTGAAGTCTGTGAGGGAGAGAATAGTTTAAAAGTATTATGTTTTAGGACATCATGTTTATCATAAGAGTACGGAATGAGGGTTGCAGAGTGGATTATATTTGGGGGTAGGGGGTGGGGACGTGTGCGGGGGCGGGGGCGGGGGATTGTGTACCAATGAGGGAGTTTTTCTTTTGCTTTTCAAGAAGAGGAGCGAAGGGGGGGGCGGGGAGAAGGGTGCAACAATGAATGAATGGAATTCCAAAATCTCTGTAGATGTTCACTGAAATGAAAAATAAATAAATGAATTTTTTTAAAAGTGTTTAAACTTAGGAGAGACAAATCTAATCCAACTTAAGTAAGAGGAGTGGGTTTTAATCGCTGTAAATTATATGTCAATTGACATATAATGTTGTTGTTGTTGTTAAAGTTGTTAAGTTCTATCAGTCTTAGACGCCTCATAGCAACCCTATGAATGAAAGACCTGCACACTTGTATAACTTTCATCATTGTCCGAGTTCACAGAGTTTCCGGAGGCAAGCTATTTTGGAAGTAGATGCCATTCCTGCTTCCAAACATAAAATAATGTAATTAAAATACCCGTTAGTCTCAGCCTGGCAATTTGTAACAATTACTAGTGAGAGTTTTTCGTGCACTGTCTCACTCCTCATAACCTTGTACAATGGGTATTATTCACATCTTTCAGAGAAGGAGGTTGGAATGAAGAAAAAGAATATTTTTCCAGGCCAGAGATAAAACAAAAGAGGTGTTATGAGGCAGAACTATATAAATACAACTATATAAAGCACAAGAAAAAAATTATCTTTGAGTTCAAAATATTATGCCCCTTCGTATTATCCAGAAAAGAAGCCCTGGTGGAACACTGAGCTAAGCTTTGTTCTGACCAGTGGTGCTTGGGGGTTCAAATCTACCAGCTGTTCCAAGGGAAAGCAATGAGACAATCGTTAGATAAAGTCCTGGCAGCCGGTGAGGCATTCTCTGTCGTCCATGGTCACTAGGAGTTGGAGTCGGCCCGCTGGTAGTGAAAGCATGAGGGAAGGGGACAGTGTAGGGGACGGACACGGCTGGGTCACCAGTCGACTAAGCCGCCGGCCGACAGCTGGGCCGCGACTCTGCATGTCAGCCTGGGTGCTGAGCTGCCCGCAGCACCTCACTGTGCCTCATGAAAGATGTTTCCTGAGCAGACTCCTCAAATAACCGAGGGAAGGAAGATACTAGGAGACACAAACACATTTTTAGTAGTTAATATCCTTTCGTTCTACAAAAAGAATGGCGAGAAGTTATCTTTAAAGGTCCAGCAATTATAAAGTACACACATCAGATTGTGTATAAGTGAGTAAGAAATCCATCCATTGAAGTAGCAAACTTCTAAGCTTGAATAGCAGGATCCCTGGTGGCACTATAGGTAACCATTGGACTGCAAACCAAAAGGTTGGTGGTTCAAACCACCAGCTACTCCAAAGGAGAAAAAAGCGGCATTCAGCTTGTGTAAATATGACAGCCCTGGACCTCTAGGGCAGTTCTGACCTGTCCCCTGAGGTTGCTGTGAGCTGGAGAGAAGCCAGTCGGCAAGTCCCCTGAGGAACCGCCGAGCAAAGTGTGATGTGACTGTCTCAAGCACGCCCTCACAGAACGGTGCCTGTCTTCACAGTTGCTCTGCTGGACTAGAAATCGAGGCAGGGGCTTTGTCTTCATGCGTTTCGAGTGTTGACACTACTTTTCCTCATTGACTTTCACAGCAAACCAGCGTCAACTTCTCCAAAAACTGTGGGTCCCGCTTCAATAACTCCATCTTCCTTTGTGTCCAAACCTCTTGTGTCTTACAGAGAATGAACATCGGCTTACGGGCATTCCTAGTCATAGCTGACAGCTTGCAGCAGAAAGATGGCGAGCCGCCCATGCCGGTCACAGGTGCTGTTCTTCCCTCAGGAAACACACTCAGAGTGAAGAAGACATACTTGAGCAAAACTCTAACTGAAGAGGAAGCCAAAATGATAGGTGAGTGTCTCAGTCCTCCAGTGCTGTGTGACAGGGACACCACAGGTGGGTTTGTCTCAGGTCTCTGGAGCTGCTGTGACAGGGACACCACAGGTGGGTGTGTCTCAGGTCTCTGGTGCTGCTGTGACAAGGACACTGTAGGTGGGTAGATGTAACAATAGCCCTACCATTTAGGGAGACTGTTGTTACGTTGCATCGAGTTGGCAGCGACTCCTGGCTGGCCCTGCAGCAGGTGTTCAGAGGCAGCGTCACACAGGCAGAGGTGGCCGTCTTTCCCCTGCGGAGCAGCTTGTGGATTCAAACCATGTGCCTTTGGTTTACCAGTGTAACTTCTTACCCTTCAGGCCACAGAGATCGCTCTCTTTTTTTTTATTTTAAATTGATTTTCATGAAAGTTTACAGAGACTTTGGATTTCCATTCATTCATTGTTGAACTTTTCTCCCTGCTCACCCTTCCCCTCAATTCACTTTTCTTTTTGAAAAGAAAAAGAAAAAATTCTTTTATTATTATTCAATCCGCCCCCCAAGTCCACTCCACTATCCTACCTTCGTTCTGGACTCCTGTCATACCAATAATATCTAATCATGTCAGTCCTCCTTTATAACAGTGGCATTATGTTGTATTTGTCTTTTTTGTGGCTGAGATATTTCTCTCAGCATAATGTCCTCCAGGGTCACCCATCCTTCTCAAGGAGGTCCCTGGTGGTTTTATCCCTTCAACTTGGAACTGACTCATAACTGACCATCCAGCTAGGTTTCAGAGAAGGTAAATTACATGAGTTGATTGTCCATCCTTTTCCTGACAAGCACATGGTGGGTTCAAACCATGTACCTTTGGACTGGCAGGCCTACTCCTTACCACTAGGCTACCAGAGCTCTTCCTGGTTTAGGGACGAGGAGTCTGGATTGAAGCAGCTGCCTGGAAGCCCCCTGTGGGCTCTGAGGGAAGTCTCTGTCCCTCTGCCCTGCTGTCCCTCAATTCTGTGGTGACCATGTGCCCAGAAGGCCTCTTGTGGGCTCTGCGGGAAGTCTCTGTCCTTCTGCCCTGCTGTCCCTCAGTTCCGTGGTGACCTTCATGTGTGTGTTTCTCCTCCTCTGTTTGGGCTTTTTCTTCTCTGTCTCGCATCTGCTTTTCTCTCGCATGTGATTGGTGTAAAGCGTGTCCTACACCCATGCAGCCTCTTAACACAAGGACTTACTCCCACCTGGGCTTACACAGAAGCTCGACTGCCATTGTTAGATGCCAACCAGTGGGCTCTGATCACAGTGACCCTGTGGACAACAGCTGGACACCGTGCCCTGCCCTGCCCACTCCCAGGGTCAGCCGGGCTCATTTAGAACAAGTATGCTGGGGGTACACATGGTCCAATCATAACAGTGAACTTCAGAGATGAGGCAGCTGGACCTTGGCAGAGCCTTTACAGACCAGAATGCAAGTAAAACATGAATTACCTGAGAATACTCAGGCTTATTCGATACTTTTTTAAATTCAATTCTTTTTAAAAAGAATCGTCTATTAGAGTAAGCCTTTCTGGCATTAATTCCTTTGATTGCTGCATGCTATATTTTGTTTTCTTAACCTTTAATGTTGTTTTTAACTTTCTGGTAAATATTTTGCTGTTTAAATGTTTATTTTTTATCTGTGTGGTAGTATTTTCAAAACCCCTACTAATTCTCTGTGTTTTGAAGTAAATGTCTAAAACGTCTGTATGATTTGGTAGATAAACCTGATAGATGATAGATAGATAGATAGATCCATTCACTTCTTAATCTTCTAAACTTCCCCCTTCTTTGTTTTGAGCAAATTGGCTTAATCCATATTTTAGACATCCCAAATCCTGCTACAACTAGATTATGATCAGAAATTAATGTTTTTCCTTTCAATCTATTTTATCAAGATATTTTTCTTTTTGCATTTACTATTAAATTGTGGGGTGAAGGTATCCATAACAAACTGGCATTCAGTCCCTCTGTTAGGGTCTTCCTAGGTACCGCAGGTAGGGAGTGTCAGCTCTGTTCAGATAGTCTCTGGATTCCAAAACCATGGAAGAAGAGCATGAGGAAGCAGCTTTTACTTTAAGACATTTGTGTTTATTGATGCGTTGTTTGGATAAGTTGGAGACCTAATGCCAGAGAAATGGCACTTATTATCTTATTAAATAGTTGTTTTTTATTAAAGCATTACTGAAGTAAAGTTTTATTAAGGTTTTACATTCCCAGCTATTAATTGTCATTGTGTGGTGTGGATACAGCACTTCCGTGCACCATTCCTATTTTACATCATCGTGTTCACTGCTCATATTTGTAAGGAACCCTCTAGCCCAGTGGCTGAACGTGTGGCTGCAGTCCGAAAGGTCAGTAGTTCAAACCATCACAGCTGCTGTGGACGTGGGAGCCCGGGCAGTGACCTCTGGAAAGAGTACAGCAGGAGGCCTTGTGGGGTGTTTGTGCCTCACTGCTCAGCATAGCAGGGGGCAGTGTGGGCTCGATGATACCCAACAATAGCAGTGGTCCCCTTGTCCCCCACCATGTGTGTCCTTCGGCCGTGGGCTCTCCCAAAGGTTTCAGAGGTAGAGACCCAGTCCTTCCTTGTCCGTGGTCATCTGGAAGCTCTGCTGATACCTGTCCACTTGGTGACCTGCTGTTATTTCATGTGCCAATAGCTTCCAGCATCACGGGACATGCGAGTCAGCACCATGCTGGCTGAGAGATGGGGTGGTTGGCACAGTGACTACCACTGTAGGCCCAGACACGGCAAGAGCCGTGGGGACCATGGGTCCAGACACAGAAACAGCCACGGGAACCGTGGGCTCAGACATGAAAACAGCTGCGGGGACCATGGGCCCAGATGTGTCGACAGCTGCAGGGGCTGTGGGCTCAATGTGGCAATGGCTGTGGGAGTCACGCGCAGCTGGGCAGGGTTTCCTTCTGCTGTCCACAGGGTGATGATGACTTGGAAACAAGAACCTCACAACAGAAATATAGGATGTTTCCACCACCTTTACCACCAGCAGTGAAGAGTGAGGCCCAAATGGACGTGGCTTCACTTAGCAGCTTCTCGTGTGTTTATTTGTGTCTGGTTCTCCCAATGTCTCCCTCACGTCAATTCATGGTGGTGAATTTGTTATACTGGCAAGCAGAATATTTTAAAAGTTAAAAATCTCTACTGCCTTGTTTACTTCAACTCTTGTGGGAAGATCTTTTCCTTTGAAGTATTTTAATCCCTATTCTTTGAATTTACATGAGTATATCTTGATGTCCACTGGGTCCTGGGCTTCGTGCCGGGAGCCCTAGAGGCAGATTTAACTGGACTCAGTCCTTCAGCTCCGAGGAGTCCTTGACCCTTTATGGTGGTGCTTAGGGTACCAAGTACGACTCACTGCGACCTTGTGGGCAACAGCCATGAGCCCTGTCCTTCCCACGCCGTCACCATCATCTCTGACACACTTGAGCCCATTGCTGCGGCCGCTGGCAATCCACCTGCTAGAGGGTCTTCCTCTCCATCACTGACCCTCCACCTTTCCAAGCACGATGTCCCTCTCCAAGGAATAGCCTCTCCTAACAACACACCCCAAGTGCATGAGACAAAGCTTCGCCGTCTTTGCCTCCAAGGAGCACGCCGGCTGTATCTTTTCTAAGATGTAGCTGCTCGTTCTATGACCAGTCCAGGGGGCAGTCAGCGCTCTTCTCCACCATCACATCTCCTGTGCAGTGTTGGTTTTTCCCCGTCATCCTTCTTCATTGTCCAGCTTTCAGACACATGGCAAGTGACTGAAAAGACTCCAGCCTGCACCAGGTGCCCTAAGGTGTCTCCAGGCTGACATACATGCACACCCCTTAGCACTGGAGAAGTGTCTGACGGCACGTTTCCCCGTGCAGCACACGTGAATGTTGACTGTGAATCCAAGTAAAATCCAAGTGTTGACGACTTCAATCATTCTCCATCCATCCTGCTGCCTAGAGGTCCTGCGATGAGGATTTTTACTTTCTTGATGTTGAGATGTAATCTATATTGAAGTCTTTGAACTTCAGCAGCAAGTGATAAAAACAGTCTTTGACTCAGAAATTCCTAAATGTGAAAAAAAAAACCAGAGTAAATAAAAGAATTTAGTTGTTTGTTAAGGAGTCCTGGTATCAGTGTGTAACATGTTGAGCTGCTAACCAAAAGGTTGACAGTTCGAATCAGCCAGTCACCCTTGGGGAGACAGATGGGCATTCTCCTTTTGTGATGACTGATGGCCTCTCAAGTCCATGCGGGTCACTAGTCAGAATGGGCTCGATGCCCGTGGTGGGGGCCGTCACTGTTTGAGGGGTACAGCCAGTGATGTCGTCATACCTCGTGGTTTTCAGGAATGTCATTGTATTACTCTCAAGTGCGGAAGGCTGTGGACAACATCTTACGGCACCTCGATAAAGAGGTGGGCAGGTGCATGATGCTCACCAACGTGCAGATGCTGAACAAGGAGCCGGAGGACATGATCACGTGAGTGCTGGGATCCCGTGACTGCTGTGA